CATGTGTGGTCTCGATATGAATCCCTTGAAATCTGAGATCTTCTATGGTGGGTACAATGAGGTTGAGGAAGCGGTCCTAAGTGGTATATCCGGTTTTAAAATCGGTGCATTCCCAACAAGATATATGGTCTTCCACTTAATCCAAGGTGAATCTCCTTTTCTACTCTCCAACCATTTGTGGAAAAGGTTACTTCTAAGTTCCACTCTTGAAATGTCAAATTCCTATCTTTGTTAGGAAATGTCAAATTGATTTCTTCGGTGATCTACGGAATAGTAATCTTTTCGAGCTTGGTTTTTAATCTGCCAAAACAATTCTATGCAAAAATTGATTCTCTTTGCTCAGTCTTTCTTTGGAAGAATAAAACTGAATCTGCTAGAGGAGCAAGAGTAGCTTGGACCGATATATGTAAGTCTAAAGCGGAAGGAGGATTAAGGATCTTAATGCTTGAGGATTTCGAGAAGGTTTTTCGGCTCTAGCAAGTCTAAAATTTGTTTGCAAATTCAGGCTCATTATGGGTGGCTTGGGTTAATCACAATGTATTTGGGAGGAAGGTTTTTGGCTCACGCGAGATGCTAATCGTTTTTCTCCAGCATTTAGGAACATGCTGTAGCTAAAACATTTGCTAGTCCAGTTCTTACGTTGCGAAATAGGTGATGGCAAAGTGGCTTCCTTCTGGTTTGCTTATTGTTCGGATCTTGGTCCGTTAATCTTTTTTGTAGATAACAAGGGTCCAAGGCAGCAGCGTATTCCTCTTGATGCTCCGATTATCCGGGCTACATACGAGGGGAACTGGTCTTTACCTGCGGCGAGATCGTATGAAGTACTTACGCTTCAGATTAAGCTAACAACAGCCATGCCTCCTTCGGAAGCAAAGGGACCTAACACTTTTCTCTGGAGTAATGCAACAGGTACATTTGTGAGGAACTTCTCATCAAAATCCACATAGGAACTGCTTCGTGATCGCTCTCCATTGGTGTCGTGGGATAAGATGGTATGGTTTAAAGAGAAAATTCCTCTTTGTTCCTTTATTACTTGGCTGGTAATGCTCTCAAGACTACTAACAAGGGATAGGCTTAGACGATGAGGTCTAAATGTGTCGAATGTGTGTGTGCTTTGTTCTCGGGGTTAAGAAACACATAGTCATTTGTCTTTCGATTGTCAGTTTCCTCAGAGCTGTGGAACAGTTTCACAACCGCTTTTTTCCCACAGCCTTTGGAAATACAATCGATAACATCTACAATCTCGAATGACTAGGTATTTTCCCGGTCGAGAAAGGGTGTTGTTATTAGGCTACTTCTTCAAATATGTGTTTATCTCCTTTGGAAGGAGCGTAACCGCCGTATTTTCGTCACCGCCTCTTCTTCGCTGGCAAGCATTCGGATTGGAGTTGAGCGGTTGATGCGAGATTGTCTTCTTTCCTTCGCTACCTCATTTACAAGCTCTCCTTCTCTCTTGGAGGTGTATTATCTCTATTTAGCAAATCGTGTTTAACTTAAGTTTTATTCCAACTGTAGTTCTCTTGTAATAAGTTGTATCCACAACATTGGAAAACATAAAAAATCAAAAAATGGTATACAATTTAACATTCATACAAAAAAAAGGGAAGTTATAATTGATTTAAATTATAAAGTCACTAAGTAACATATAACCGGAGCAA